AATAATCATCTCTGCGATGAGCATATCATGAAGGAGAATCGGGTTTCAGCAGATCGAATTGATTTCGAGAAGAGTATTGTCCAACATCGTGTGCCTGATGGTAATAAGTACAAGTATAAGAGGATTCCGTATAATGATTTCTTTAAGTGCGATTGTGTGGATAAACATTTTGGATGTCGTCTTTATCGAAGGAGACGCTATACCAAATTGATTCAAGGAAGATTGGTGAATATGAATCGTAAAAATTCAAAGATGATTTATAATAGATACTTACAATCATGTAAACCAGACTATGTTGTTTACTTTTGGGTTAAATATTGATATATTTTAATCTTGGAATGTATATTTTATTACAAAATTATGGAATGTGATTGGTATTTGAGATTATTGATATTTCCAATTTAGGACTAGTTTTTAGATTTAAAATTACCAAACATGGTTAGCGAACTCAAGATTTAAAATTACCAAACATGACTAGTGTTTTCAAGATTTAAAATTACCAAACAAGGCTAGTGTTCTCAAGATTTGAAATTACCAAACAAGGCTAGTGTTCTCAAGATTTAAAATTACCAAACATGACTAGTGTTCTCAAGATTTAAAATTATCAAACGTGTCTAGTGTTCTCGAGATTTAAGTTACCAAGTGTGACTAGTACTCTTTAAAATTATCAAACGTGATTAGTATTTCGATAAAAGTTCAAGTGAATTTTATATCATGATTAAACGATGAAATTTATATAAAAGGACATGGAACTTGAGAGGGGTTTTGAATCTCAACTCAAACTCGATATGACAACTGAAATAAGTGAAGAATACGTACGAGCTGTGATTGAAAACAGTCAATCTATTTACTCACTTCGAACTCCAGAAGATATACATCTGATCATGAAGATAGTGGATTCTCTTCTTGTATCATCTCCACGTAAATTGATGGATGTTGGTATCTTTTTGAATGAGTATGACTCCGTTTGGAAAGAATATAATCAAGAATCTAATCACCTTGAAGGTTGGGATTATCATCATGCTGATCACGAAGAACATATCCAATCCGATGTGGAAAGATTTCCAATGATAGAGGGATCTTCATTTGAATCAGAAACTTATGATGATCTTTATGATGCTGAAAGACTTCCGACGATAGAAGAATCTCCATTTGAATCGGAAACTTATGATGATCTTTATGATGTGGATGAATGGTGTGATGTATGTGAGAAATGGGTCGAGGAGTGTGATGGAAAACACGTTCATACATTCTGCTCAAAGTGTGAACAGATTGTGGAATTTCATAAGAACGGGGTGCATATAAATGAGTGTATTTGTGATTTCGTGTCAGTAATCGATTATTTTAACTCGAGAGAAGAATTGAGACGGTTTTTTTTGGTAAATAATATTCAAGGTTTGTGTATATTTTGTGAAAATAATTGCTCAGAGGAATTGTGTATGTGTGAGTTTACGTGTGGATTGAAATATGTGATGGGATATGATAAATATGGAAAGATTATATATGGAACTTGTGGTTGGCATTCTGATAATTTAAAAGATGTTGAACATGATTGTCAAGGTGGAGTTCATCGTGGATTCGATTGTATTGATCATTCAGAATGATATTAATTGTATATTTATATATTTTTAATAAATAACACCTCATCCAGTGCTTCGTGCACCAGGATGAGGTTTGAATGATGTAACTATGGGAGCTGACAAAAGAAAAGACAGTTCTGACTCTGATTCTGAATTGGGATTCAAGAGATTGAAGGCTGATGAAGAGAAGTCCGTGGAACTCAAACCTAATCCCTCTGGATCTAAGCGGAAGCAATCTGACTCTCGAGATGAAGAGAAATCCAGACCATCAGGATCTAAAGAAAGGCAATCTAACTCTCGACTACCTCAAAAACAGAACAAGAATTCGGACAAGCTTGATGCGGAAATGATTAATAGAATATTGTTATTGGGTGATGGTAATATGAAAAAAATCTTAGATTGTGAAAAATCTTATCAACTTTCTAATTTGGTTGATGAAATTGCATACGATATCATCAAGACCGAAAGTGAGGATTGGGAAGAAAAAATGGCCGTGCTTCTATTGTATAACAAGATTAGACGTGAGATTTATTCAACTATTGAAAAGAACATTCCGGATAGAACTCCGGATGTTTGTACATGGTTGGTGACAGTTTGTCAAGGACCGGCAAGGGGAATGATGTTTGA